CCGCCCTTTATTTTTTATGTTTTTAAACAGCATAATTTAAGTTGCGCTGACAGACGACAGAGGTCCGTTCAGCGGGCTGCCCCCCCCCCCCGTTGACAGTTCACTAGCGGGCTCTACCAATTTGTGTAGGCTGGGGTGGGTGAGATTCCAGGGCTGATTTTTAGTCCCAGTCCGCCCCTGCCTCCACCTACCTGCGTTTATTCCTGTCTACATTGCATCCCCCGCATCATCCGCCATCAAAGACGCAGACTCATTGTTCCCACTAAAGTAGGGGGGAGTGTAATAAGGAGGCAAAGTTGAAGTTCAGTGTGTTGCCGGGAGCATATAAGGATGTATCCACGATGTTGAAAATGTAAAAAATGTTTTTAAAAAAATGTTTAAAACATAAAGATAAAAACATTTTTTAAAGTTATTGTTTAATGTTTTAAGGAGGTGACGCTACTCAGCCAATCAAATCGGTGCAGTCAGTGAGTCAGCACGATATATTCAAACACACACACACAGAAACGAGACAAGAAGAGAGAAACAGTCGGAGTAATTTAGTGGGAATGCTGACACAGCATTCCCACTATCTGTTAGGCTACGCACGAAATTATTTATTATTCCGCCGGGTTATTTTGCGCCACTTCTCCTCCCGCATTGAACATCAAAACGTTCAGCTCGGTCGGGAATCGATGGTTATTACTTTTATCATTCATAACTTTCATAATTCCAGAGATACATCCCATAATACATCACATTTTTAACATGGAAGTCAATGGAGAAATTCTTCAGACTTCAACAATCTTCATGCAACTTCAACTGCTAACTGCTCCTTCATACTTTCACTCAGAAACCTCATTCCAACTTTAAAATGTTACACATCTTTCTGACATTATTCGTGTAACACAACTTTTTTTGCTCTACCCCTCACTATCATGTGAAGGGTCTGCTTTATGCCCTCCGCACAGTAACCCTGCTGCGAGGCATACAGTGAACAGCGAACAGTTCATGAGCCCCAGGGTGTACTGAAGGACTGAGGGTGGATATTGAGAACATCACTGTCACTCTTTTGCGCAGGAAGCAAGATCTGTATCGTCAGCATGGTTTGTTGTCAAACGTAGTTATTGAAATTACCTTTCAAAAACAACAAAAACATTCTGGCACCATGTAATGACGAGACGCCGTTACTAGAGCTCTCGTTAACATGTTTACATAATCATTGTACTGTATAGGGCAGAGCTGGACTGGGACAGCAAATCAGCCCTGGCATTTAGACCCAGACCGGCCCAAATCCATAAAACAAACGAATAGTAGCGGTTCCTGACAAGAAGAATAACTCAGTATAATTTAAAAAAAACGCTATTATTATCCTTTTTACGTACCAGGGGTAAACAAAACTAATACATACCACAAGTATGTGTAACTATCAATCATTAGAAATTAGACCTTCAAACCCTCTCACAAAGCGAACGGTGACCGGGCACTAATAGAAGAAAAGTTTTAAAAATAACCCCTTAAATGATGACTTCTAGTGAATTTAGGGGGGGGGGACTCTATAGTGCCCTGCCTCCCCTTTCTATGACAACACAATAGAGATAGGACCAGATGAGTCTACTCTACAGGATGAGTCGACGGCATCTTTTCTTGGGCTTGTTTCTCCCACAGATTGACCCTCTGATATGACTCCCTGATAAACACTGCTATGTCATTGATTAGGTTGCAAAGTGTTCCACATTCGATTACAGTTTGGGAGGTTTCAGCCAGGACAAGATTAAGAACATGAGCATAGCACCACACATGGACATGAGTGGGTGACTGGGAGGTCATCAGTGCAGAAAATCCTTTGTACCGGCCTTGCATATTGGATGCTCCATCTGTTGCATTACCTATACACATGCCCTTGTCCAGTTTCAGATGCTCTAAGACCTCTGAGAGCAAGTTCACAAAGTATTGTCCGGTGGATGCATGGCACTTCACTAAAGCCACAAGCCTCTCTTGCACAGTCTCATTGACATATCTTAAGATTACTGAACACTGATCCTGAGAAGTTATGTCTTGTGTTGTGTCCAGCTGAACAGAAAATATTCCGGCCTTCTGGACATCACTGGAGATACTTTCTTTGATTATACTACCAACAGTTTATATTATGGAGTTAACAGTAGATTTGGAGAGTAGGGTGATGAGAGACCCTCTACCTTTTGTTCCACTGGATTGGTGCAATTTCTTGCTCTTCTCTACGCAATCATCCAGATGCTCTTTTAAGCAGACATCATACTTTCCTAATAAAAGGGTGAGCTCCAAAAAGTTACCGTGGTCCACGGTGTTGTCAGCTAGCATATATGCTCCCTCATTCTCCACCTGCCTGCACTTTCACCACATCTACCACACGCTCCAAAACCTGACGTCTCTTTCGGACTTGTTCCCTATGAGCAGACATCTGACTGCCAGCAAACATGCTTTCGATGTCTGCTTTAGAGCACCGTAAGAAAAATGCTTCAGCACAGGTTGAATGTGTAATGCTCTTTTTGTGCTCCTCTGTACGCTGGTGTGCGTGCCTCCAATCTGACATTCCAGTTATAAATGTGCCAGTGTCAGTCCTCTTCCCAAATGCCAGACATACAAAACAAAACAACATATGACGTTCCTTGCAATATGTAAGCCACTTTCTGCTGGTGCCATCTGCACAACTGGATTTCTGGTATGGTCCCAAACTGTTTAATGGTCTAAACCATTTATGTTAACTTAAAACGTAACAAGAGACACTTATTGAAGTGATTGGCCTCAAATCGACATGTAATAACAGACAAACGAATAGCATGCAGGGTTAGATGTAAGAAAAAGAAGTAATTTGAACTCACCTGCTTGTGACAAAGCAACGCCACGTGTTATATGATTCTTATTGTTATACATTTGGTTGTTTTAACATTAATTTAGGCAGTCTTTCTCAGGAGTCCAACTTACCAGACAGACACACTCATATTGTTCACTATGTAATCTATTGAAGATTTTGAATAAACAGGTACTTCTTTACCTTTCTGTATTGGGCCCGAGTGTATGTCTGCCAGCATTGCTCAAGCTCCTTTGAAAACTGCAACTGCTCTCCCGGTGGCACGAGATCACGTCGGGGTCACCAATTGTTATGCTGTGTTCGTTATTCTCGCGTCCAGGAGAGAAGCTTTAAAAGGAGACTAAATGGAGTCTCTGAGAAGGTTCAAATGGTTACTTTAATTAAAAATATGGCGCGGTAATGTTACAAACAGATGATTGTTCAGTCAGGAGAGAACGGCTGCAGCTTCCTCTCCCAGGTGGTGGCCGTGAAAAAGAGAGCTCACAAGCCTTCGTCTTTCCCGCTTGCTGGCTGTTCGCCCCTCCTCTCTGTGAGCTGTAGTGACGTAGGGGACTTCCCCCCCTCGTTCTTCTGTGTCCGATATCGCGTTAAACAGAGGATTTCGACATTTTACATTCATGTTGCTTACTTCCACATGCCTGATCTCCTCCTTATCTCTTTCATAACTTTATATGTAATACATGTTAACGGCGTGTGAGACAGCGACCCTTTTAGCGGCTGGATTTCCAGTGAAAGAACCACACACGAGAGGAGGTAGAGTTGCACACCATAGTGTCTTTATTTCACAACCACCATAAAGAACAGCCAGCCAGCCAGCATGGAGGTGTTCACCACCTTCCTCCGACTGAAGACTGGCTCTTTTATAGAGGATCTTATTGGGAGAAACCATTCACAGGTGAGCCATTATAAATACACATGTCATCATAATTAGTATAACGATAATCCATAACATTCTGTGCATGTATGATCAGTGGTTTATAGCCAGCTGTTAAGTTAACCCCAAAATCCACATTATAACTGACCATAATATATAGACATTAGGGGTGTAACGGTTCACAGAAGTCACGGTTCGGTTCGTACCTCGGTTTGGGGGTCACGGTTCGGTACGGTTTCGGTACAACAAGGAAAAGAAAAGAAAAGTCCCAAATGCATAATTTTTTTTGCTGTTATTTATTTTTAACAGTCGTGCAAGTTTTGTTATGAAAATAAGGAACTCTAACATTTGGAATCATTAACTGTATTACACAGTTAAAAACAAAACACAAACAGTAACACACACACTCAGATGGCCATAGTATTTATAATGGCTGATGTCAAACAAAAAGGTTAAATAAGCTGTACAACTAAAAAGAATGTCTTGAAAATATTAAAATAAATAATAAGAAAGTGTTTCAATCACAATCAATAAAAGGCAATACAGAACTGTATAACATCTCCTGATGTCAAAATATAAAATAAATACAATAATATAAAACAAAATAAAATCTACCTTTAGGAGCAATGTCTAACATGTGTAATTAACTTGTGAGTGTGTGAGGCCATTATGCCTAAATAAAGGTACTCAAGCTTTACTCTATTTTCAAGTTTTTCTTCAAAAAGATGAGTTTGTCTACGTTGTCAGTAGTGAGGGCAGATCTGTTGGCGATATGTCACCTGCCGTCGAGAAAACCCTCTCGCTGGGGACTGAGTCAGACTCGGATGTGATTGAGCATGTTTGACGTGTTACCACTAGCATACCGCACCGCTGTCGAACAACGCCGACACACCGTCCTCGTCCGATCCACAACTCGCACCCCATCATTGTTGTAGTCCACAGGGAACCCGAAATGTTCCCACACACCTGATTTAAAAGAAGCAGGTGGATTCTAGCTCCTGTGTGTTGTGTGAACTCGCCATAGCTAACTTTTCTTCTTCATGTATTGTGTTCGTTTAGTTGTGTTTTGTTCTTGTTCTTCATTTGTTATTTACGGGCGGCTGGCTTTTAGGCGCAATACCGCCCCCTGGATTATATATAGTGTAATACTGCCCTGAGTGACAGACTTTTTTCCCACTCGTAAAAAAAGGCGTATTCGCCGTGTGACTGCATGTGCCGAACCGTGACGTCCGAACCGTGACGGTACGGGACGAATACGGATACCGTTACACCCCTAATAGACATACATTCCCAACTACAACAGAAACCCCTACGCCCATCCCGCCACTTGGTTCGTCCCGGAACCTTCTTTAGTCAGTGTTTGTTTCCCCCCGAGGACCTTTTGGCCAAACACACTGGAGCGGACACAGGACGAAACAGCATGGGTAAGCGATGGGCCTAACCTTTACACAGTGTTCACTTCTACAATGAATGCAACTTAATGTCATGACATATACACGCTAAAACAGGACATCTGCACACAATGATTAATCTCATCCGCTGTCAATCTTACACAATTATAAATACTCTCGGCGCTCTCACTATAACTCCCCTCTCTTTTCAGGTGGAGCCGAGGACCGACCAGCATCTGCCAGACGACATTCCAAATACTACGGTTTAATCATTTAACAACTACTACATCAATAAATAGTATAGATTATATAAAAATGTGCAAATAGGCCATGTCAAACTGTACTGTGCAAATCATGCTAATAAAGTGCAAACTGTTCACTAAAGTGCTGAGTGACATTCTTACTGTGCAAAAGGAAGTCGTTATATAAAGTGCAAACCCACATGTGCAATATTACAAGGCCCCCAAACCGTCAGTCCATAGTAACGAAGTTACCTTTGTTACATTTCCTCCTCCCTCTCCCGAAGGAGAACAGTGTCTCATTCCTGTGACACTCTGGACAGAAAGTCCGCCACTATATTGGTCTTCCCTGACCTGTAGCGAACGGTGAAGTCATACGGCTGCAGTGCCAGGTACCATCCAGCGATGCGCATGTTTGCATCTCTCATGCGATGCAACCACTGTAGAGCTCTGTGATCCGTTTCCAAAACGAAGTGCCGCCCCAGCAGATAATATCTGAGGGAGTCAATGGCCCACTTCATTGCCAAACACTCCTTTTCAACCGTGGAGTATCTAGTCTCTCTATCCAGCAGCTTGCGACTCAGGAAAACAACAGGTCTCCAGTCTCCCTCCTCCTCCTGTAGCAGCACTGCCCCTAGGCCCACTCCAGAAGCGTCGGTTTGCAGGGTGAAGGGCTTGTCAAAGTCTGGAGTGTGAAGGACAGAGTTAGCGCAGACTGCATCTTTCAAGTCTCTAAAAGCTTTGTCACACTCATCGGTCCATTTCAGTTTGTTGGGAGCAGAGGCTTTGGTCAAGTCATTCAACACAACCGCCCTGTCTGCAAAATGAGGAACAAACTTACGGTAGCAACAGACCAACCCCAGAAACCCTCTCATCTTCTTCTTGGTAGATGGCACAGGGAACGACTGTATGGCCTCGACTTTCCCCAGCTGTGGCTTAATCTTCCCAAATCCGATGATGTGGCCCAGGTACTTCACTTCTCTTTGAGCGATAGCACACTTGTTTGGGTTGATTGTCAGACCAGCTGCTCTGATCCGCTGCAAGACTTGTTGTAGATGGAACCTGTGCTCATCCCAGGATTGGCTGAAAATAACCACATCATCCAAATATGCAGCAGAGAAGTCAGAGACATCCCTCAATACATGGTCCATCAGTCTTTGGAATGTTGCCGGCGCCCCTTGCAGACCAAATGGCATGACTCTGAACTGATACATACCAAATGGGGTCCTAAAGGCTGTCAACTCCTTAGCTTCAGATGCCAATGCTAACTGCCAGTAGCCTTTGCTTAGGTCCAACGTGGTGATGTACTGAGCTTTGCCAACCCTTTCCAACAGATCGTCAATTCGAGGCATTGGGTATGGATCGAAATTAGACACTGCATTCAGGTACCTGAAGTCAATGCAAAATCGAAGTGATCCATCTTTCTTTGGAACCAGTACAATTGGGCTGCACCACTCACTGCAGGAGACCTCGATTATCCCCAGTTCCAGGATCATCTTTATTTCCTTTTGTAGAACAGGAATTAGCCGTTCAGGAATCCTGTAGCTCTTCTGCCGAACTGGAGCATTTCCTGTTAGACGGATCCTGTGCTGGACCAGTGAGGTAAAACCTGGTGTCTCTTTAAAAAGATCCGGGTCAAGAAGTGGCTTTACTCCTACCTGCTGGGTGGGAGATAGATGAGACAGGTCCAACGTCAAGGGCTCTGCTGTTGCAGTGGTGGCAGGAAATAACTTCTCATTTGCTTCCTCATCCTGGACAGCACATACCAACAACTGGCACACAGGCTCTTGACGAACCTGGATCTCCTTGAGCAGATTGACATGGAAAGTCTGATATTTCTTTACTCTTTCTGGCATATATAGTTCATATGTGACCTTACCAACAACCCTGGTAATTTCATAAGGTCCATGCCATTTTGTCAGCAGCTTACTGTCACACGTTGGCAACAATAACAGTACTTTCTGTCCTGGATTGAAAACCCTCTCCCTGGCCTTCCGATCATACCAGGTTTTCTGTTGTTGCTGTGCCGACTTCATATTTTCATGTGCCAGTGCTGTCATCTCCTCAAGTCTCTTCCTCATTTTGATCACGTATGAGACAACATTCTCTCCTCCTGGCTGTGGACTCTCTCAATGGTCTTTAAGAAGATCCAAGGGTCCTCTCACTTGATGGCCATACAAGAGCTCCATCCATCCATCCATCTTCTCCCGCTTATCCGTGGTCGGGTCGCGGGGGTAGCAGTTCCAGCAGAGAGCCCCAAACTTTCTTTTCCCTGGCGACATCAACCAGCTCTGACTGGGGGATCCCAAGGCGCTCCCAGGCCAGCGAAGAGATATAATCCCTCCACCTGGTCCTAGGTCTACCCCTTGGTCTCTTCCCAGCTGGACGTGCCTGGAACACCTCCCTAGGGAGGCGCCCAGGTGGCATCCTAACTAGGTGCCCGAACCACCTCAACTGGCTCCTTTCGACGCGAAGGAGGAGCGGCTCAACTCCGAGTCCCTCCCTGATGACCGAACTTCTCACCTTATCCCTAAGGGAGACACCAGCCACCCTGCGGAGAAAACCCATCTCGGCCGCTTGTATCCGCGATCTCGTTCTTTCGGTCATGACCCATCCTTCATGACCATAGGTGAGGGTAGGAACGAAAATGGCCCGGAAGACCGAGAGCTTTGCCTTCTGGCTCAGCTCCCTTTTCGTCACAACGGTGCGGTAAAGCGACTGCAGTACCGCTCCCGCTGCTCCGATTCTCCGGCCCATCTCACGCTCCATTGTTCCCTCACTCGAGAACAAGACCCCGAGATACTTGAACTCCTTCACTTGGGGTAAGGACTCATTCCCTACCTGGAGTGGACAGTCCATCGGTTTCCTGCTGAGAACCATGGCCTCAGATTTGGAGGTGCTGATCCTCATCCCAGCCGCTTCACACTCGGTTGCGAACCGATCCAGTGAGTGCTGAAGGTCGCAGACCGATGAAGCCATCAGAATCACATCATCTGCAAAAAGCAGTGGTGCAATCCTTAGTCCACCGAACTGCAGACCCCCTCCCCCATGACTACGCCTCGAAATCCGATCCATGTATATTACAAACAGGATTGGTGACAAAGCGCAGCCCTGGCGGAGGCCAACCCTCACCGGAAATGGGTCCGACTTACTGCCGAGGACCCGGACACAGCTCTCGCTTTGGGAGTACAGAGATTGGATGGCCCTGAGTAGAGACCCCCTCACCCCATACTCCCGCAGCACCTCCCACAGTAACTCCCTGGGAACTCGGTCATACGCCTTCTCCAAGTCTACAAAACACATGTAGACCGGATAAGCGTACTCCCAGGCCCCCTCCAGGATCCTTGCGAGAGTAAAAAGCTGATCCGTCGTTCCACGACCAGGACGGAATCCGCATTGTTCCTCCTCAATCTGAGGTTCGACAATCGGCCTGACAAGAGCTCGAAAGGTGAAAAACCTGTCGACACTTGTGGAACTTCCCGATAGGCAAACAACAGGTACGGAAGCCATTGGTCCCAATCAGCCCCTGTATTGGAGACAAACTTGCGTAGCATGCCTTTGAGAGTCTGATTGTAGCGCTCTACTAGCCCGTCTGTCTGGGGGTGATAAGGGGTGGTCTTAATGCCCTTCACACCTAAGACTTGGTAAAACTGCTTCAAAAACTTGGACAAGAAATTTGTCCCACAGTCTGTAAGGATCTCTCTAGGTATGCCTACTCTGGAGAACAGATGAACAAGACAATTTGCTACCTGCTTGGCTTTGATGGACCTGAGAGGGAAGGCTTCTGGATAGCGGGTGGCATAGTCACATACAACAAGAATGTAATGGTGTCCTGAGGAGCTTTTCTCTAAAGGTCCTACTATGTCCATGGCTATCCTCTCAAAAGGTGTGTCTATTATAGGCAACGGCTGAAGTTGTGCACAGGCTACTCCCTTTGATGAGGTAAGTTGACAGGTTTCACAAGACCTACAGAACTGAGAGACGTGCGTATACATCCCTGGTCAACCAAACCTACTTCCAATCCTGTGCAAAGTCTTTTGGAAAGCCATATGACCTGCCCATGGAATTGAATGGCCTAACTCCATCACTCTGGTTCTGAATTGCTTTGGCAGAGCTAAAACCTCAGTATTTCCCTTGCGCTGATAGAGGATGCCCTGCTTAACTATGTAGGTGGCCTCCTCCAGATAGCTATGGTTATCTTGCTTAACCCCCTCAACCTCTGTTACTTTCCCAAACCAATGCGTCAGTGTAGCATCCAGTTTCTGTACTGCCCCTATATCTGGGGGAAAATCGAAGTCTAGCAGATCTGGTAATTCTGAAGGTTCCCTTCTTCTCTGCGCTCTAGTCTTTGGCGGTTTACCTGGACTTGTCTCCCAGTCCACCCCATAAAAAGGCATCTCAGCGAGTTTCTGCGCTCTAGTGGTAACATTACAAGGCTTGACTGGCTGTAGAACTGGTTTCACCTCACCTTGGCTAAGTGGCTCCCTGACCGTTGCCCCAAGGCTCTCAACCTATTATCTTCCCCAGTCAGACTTGCAACCTGGCTTGTGCACTAGGTCATAAAGTGTAGGGAGATCATTACCTAGAATGACTGGGTATGGCAATGTTGGGGCTAATGCTACAGGCAACAGAAAGGTTTGGCCTCCTACAGTTAGATAGACCTCTGCTGTGGGGTAAACATGTTGATCACCATGAATGCAACTTATGGTTGAAGTATCCTAACTCCACTTTTCCCTAGGGACCAAACTGGACAAAACAACTGACTGAAAACATGCTGTATCCAGCAACGCTTCTACCCGCTGCCCATTGATCAAGACTGGTACTTTCCTACCTTTTCCACCTAATCTCTGGACCCTGTCTGACCTAGGAACTGCACACAGGAGAGATGGCTTGGTGTGGGCTAAAACTGGGCAATATGGCTTGGTGTGACCTAGAGCATTGCAATGATAGCACCTAATTTCTTTTTTTATCGGCCTTTGAGCTTGGTTTGGGCCTCGGTTGTTCTCCCAACTGCGGGTGGCCTCCCGGCTCTCTTTCCTGGCGTGATGTGAAAACCTCTGCCAGGCGTGCTGCCTCCGCTGCTGTCTTGGGGTCATGATCTCTTATCCAGATTTCTAGCTCAGGCTGGAGCATCCTCAGGAACTG